TGAAACTGGAGAAGAAATGAAAAAGTTAAAAGTCACAATGCAGGACAAATTGGGAGAAAATTTCAAAGTTATGGAATCACCGCAGATGAAGCCCAAAATAAAAATTTTCAATGTCAGCGAAGAAGAAATGAGGTTGGATGATGATGACTTAATAACTACAATCCAGAAACAAAATGGAATTGATGCAGTAAATGATGGATTACAAATGCGAATAGTGAAGAGAATAGTTAAACAAAGGAGAAATGATAATAATCAACATAGGAGAAGAGAAAAAGAAGAAGGTTTCATAATAATTGAAGTAGATGAAGAAACGCATGAATTAATGTTAAAAAAAGAAAAACTAAATGTAAGATGGAGAAAATGAATCCTATATCCAATCACATTAATGTTAAAAGATGTTTTAAATGCTAGGGATATTATCATATTGCAAAAAATTATACGCGAAACGAAACATGCCACAAATGTACAGGAAATCATAAAGCGATTGAATGTACGGCGACATAGAAAAAATGTGTAAATTGTATGTTTAAAATTCGAACGTATAACCTGAAGATAAGTGATGAACACGACGCCCTTAGCCCGAAATGTCCAACATTTAAAAGGGCGATACAGGAGGAGAAAAGGAGAGCCGACTGGGAGGATGCTAAATAGCAACTATAGAAGGAAGCGGAAATAATACTACAGTATTATTGTATACGTACAAATGCGCAAAGTTTGATGGCGCATAAAGACGAGATACAGCATCAGATTATGAAAAAAATGAACCCTGCATTCATAGCGTTATCAGAGACCAGATTGACTGTTGAAATTGAAGACAGTAAAGTGAACGTACCGGGTTATAGCATGATTAGATGTGATGCTGAAAATAGAAATAGAGAAGGAATTGTTTTATATGTGAGGGATGATGTTAAATATGGGATAGTATTAGTAAAAAAAATTAGAATCGAATTGTTGGTGTGCTACGATTGAGGTGAAAGAAAAATTGTATAGAGGAATAATAATGATAATATATCATTCACCGAGTGCATCGCATGGTGATTTCGTGAGATTTCAGGAGGATATAATAGAAGAGTTAATAATATGGGGAGAATGTATAGTAATATGAGATTTTAATATAGATATTATGTTAGATTCGTTTTATACAAGGAAACTGCAAACGACAATGTTGAGCTTAGGCATGAAACAATATGTAAATAAATCGACGAGAATTACGAAAGATAGTAAGACAATCGTAGATTTAATTTTTGCTAATAATAAAATAGAAATATAGGTGATGCATGAACCTAAAATAACGGACATGCGTGGTTAAAAGTTGAACTGAATGCGAGTAAAATTGATAATAAATAGAACTTTGTGTTAGAAATTATAGAGAGTTTAAAGTAGATGAATTTATTAAATTAGTGGAAAATAAATTAGAGAAAAATCAAGATATGGATGTCAGTGTGAGAGCGAAGAAATTTGTTGACAGTACAGTAGATGCGTTGGACGCTACAGCACCTAGGAAAAATTTTAGAATTCCGAAAATATGGGAAGGGAAAAAGTGGTTTTCGGATGGAATAAGAGAAGCAGTGGCTAAAAGGAATGAGGCATATAGGAAGACATTGTATGCTGACATAGAACAAAATTGGTTGCAATTTAAAATTAAAAGAAATGCAGTAGTTAAGTTAATTAGGACAAAGAAAAAAGAACATTATGAAAATATGATAGATCTTAATAAAGAAAATCCTACATATATGTGGAAAACACTGAAAGAAATAATTAGACGCGAACCAGGAGGTAACAAGAAATTAGACAGCACTGAAGGATGCAATATAGCAGATAAATTTAATTTATATTATAATATATTAATTTGTATTATAACAGAGCATCATTCGGGCTTTAGAAAACAGTATTCGTGTGAAACAGCGATTCAAACAGTCATTGATGAATGGAAATTGATAGTTAGTGAGGCAAAAATGGTAGGGGTAATTTTCATGGATCTTAAGCGAGCCTTTGAAACAATAGATAGAGAAAGATTATTAGAGAAATTATATCAATATGGAATTAGGGGAATGGTGGTACAGAGGAGGGAATAACTAGCGATATATTAAAGGCAGTATTTTGCGTAATAAAAGAGGAATTTGTTGATATAATAAATAATTCTTTGAAGGAAGGTTGCTGTCCAAAAGGTTGGAAAACGTCTACAATAATACCGATTCCAAAAGTAGAGAAAGCTAGAAAAGCAAGTGAATTTAGGCCTATAAATATGTTACCAATATTTGAAAAAGTGTTAGAATTAGTAGTTAAAAAGCAAATTGAAACGTATTTGGAAGATAATTGTATTATAACAGAACATCAGTCGGGCTTTAGAAAACAGTATTCGTGTGAAACAGCGATTTAAACAGTCATTGATGAATGGAAATTGATAGTTAGTGAGGCAAAAATGGTAGGGGTAATTTTCATGGATCTTAAGCGAGCTTTTGATACAATAGATAGAGAAAGATTATTAGAGAAATTATATCAATATGGAATTAGAGGAATGGTTTTAGAATGGTTAAGATCATATTTAAATAATAGAACACAGCAGGTTCAATTTAACAATAAATAGTCTAAATTAATGACCACAGAATATGGAGTACCACAAGGATCTATATTAAGACCTTTGTTATTTATAGTATACATATATAAATGATGTAATCAATATCTGTCCAGAAGGATGTAGTATAAAAATGTTTGCAGATGATAAGTTAATATATGTAACTGGAGAAAGCAGCGCGGGATTAAAGAGCAAAATGAATATGGCATTTATTATAATAGAAAAGTGGATGAATATAAATAAGTTAAAAATAAATGCAGGGAAAACGAAATATATGATACCTAGTCAAAAGTATAAGAAAAGAACTGCGAAATAATATTACATTGAAATGTTTGGATGAAACTGAAATAGAACGTGTGGAAATAATGAAATACCTAGACATAATTATACGATAGACTACGATTTAAGGGCCACTGTGATTATATGCTAAAAAAAATAGGGAAAAAACGAGTTTTTTTTAAATAAAATAGTTTATTAGTAATTACATATCGACATACACTAGATGTATTGTATATAAGACAATCATAGCGCCTCACTTTGAGTATTGTGCGACGCTGTTAATTGATATGGGAGAAACACAGCTGAATAAATTGCAAAAAGCATAAAACTGGGCCGTGAGAATCATGTTGCAATGTGATAGACATACCAAAGTGGAGCGTATGCTGCAAGCGCTGCAGTTTATGCCCATGACAGAGGCTATATACCATAATGTGCGTATATTTATTTTTAAGATTTTAAGGAACATGTTACCGGAGCAATTAGAAAATAGATTAGAAATAGTGGGAAATGAGAGTGAAAGACAAACACGACAAGCCGGGGGCATTGCAATAAAATATCGCAGATCAAGGAGTGCGCAAAAGAGTACACGGAAAAAAAATGCTGTTGCTTCAATTAAAGTCTACGTCACGGGCCGCCACAAACATACATAGTTCATTCAATGATATTTTTATTAGACCAAATATCTGGATTATTAAAACAACTATCATAAATTGCAAAAAGCATAAAACTGGGCCGTGAGAATCATGTTGCAATGTGATAGACATACCAAAGTGGAGCGTATGCTGCAAGCGCTGCAGTTTATGCCCATGACAGAGGCTATATACCATAATGTGCGTATATTTATTTTTAAGATTTTAAGGAACATGTTACCGGAGCAATTAGAAAATAGATTAGAAATAGTGGGAAATGAGAGTGAAAGACAAACACGACAAGCCGGGGACATTGCAATAAAATATTGCAGATCAAGGAGTGCGCAAAAGAGTACACGGAAAAAAATGCTGTTGCTTCAATTAAAGTCTACGTCACGGGCCGCCACAAACATACATAGTTCATTCAATGATATTTTTATTAGACCAAATATCTGGATTATTAAAACAACTATCTACTTGGTAGCGTCGCCGCCCCTGTACATAGGCAAAACTGTTAACAATCCAGTAAGTCCTTTTTTGTATGTACTTGGCGTAGCGACGCCACCGCGTTACTTGATGTGCATATAGTAGTTTTTTTCATACGTACATGATATATGACATTATCTAATATGATATGTATGAATATATATGGTAGACATGTTCATATCCTCAAGAGTACTTGGCACAGATTATGTGCAACATCCGACATATATAAAAATATTATGCATGACAAAACATACATTATATATTTTTTGCATACATAAACCTACGCAATTCTACACATACGTACACACACACACGTGCACACGACACGTACACGCGCGCGCGCGCGCACACACACACACACACACACACACACATACACACATTCGACCGAGGGTCACATATATCGAGTTGAAAAGCTTATACCTTTACATGTTAAATCTGGACTTTCCAAGGCTTGTAGCGCGGAAACGGCTCATATAGGATCAAGTTATGCCCAGTGAGACATTTGTTCAGAATGACGAGAACTACGTAATATATCCAAAAATTAGCCAAATCCGCAGAAAGATATTTTTCCATAAGACTCGTGCGGGGTCCTTCCACTTTTTCTAAAAAACGAAAAAATTGTTTTTCTAATTATTTTTCCATTATTCTTTTATGTTTTCTTATGCATACGGACTGATTTATTTACTAGAGATTTTATAAGAGAAAAGAAACATATAGACATATTTTATAATAATATATAAATATATTTATATTTGATTATACATATACAATGGACTTTTTTCTCGGGTGTATACATTTAAGTTTCGGTGTATTTTTTTCTTAATTATTCATATAATATAATTTTAACACAAAAAATAGAGGGAATAATGATCCAATTGCGAAAGAAATAAATTATACCCAATAGCTTTTATTAATAAAATTACTTTTACATACTTTTAATGGAATGTAACACGACATATCAAAATTGTGAAATGCAATTTCAAATTCATGCTGAAAGCTGATTTTGACAAATGATAATATACTCCCAGGTTATACAGCAGAGATATAAGAATTTGGGGCCTGTAACTTTTCACGAATACGGAGTGGCTACGTTGTTCTTTATGTGCGTATTTCTTTGGATATTCCGCAAACCCGGCTTCGTCGTCGGATGGTCCGAACTGATCACTGATATGTTAGTATTCTAGTTATTTCGTGAAACAATAGTGACATGTACATACACAATATCGTGAAAAATATAATGCGCAGAGACCTCAGAGACTCAGTGCCAGTGATATTCGCCTCTATCCTAATGTTCTTCATCCCGAAAGACCCCAGCTTCATCTACAGCTACAGTCAAGATCGTAAGAAGTTATAGAAATCTCATTATCAGCATCCAATATATTCTTCAATATAATAATAATTCTAAAGAGATCATAGAATCATGATCTCTCTGTAAAATATTGTATTTTAAGTTGTTTTAAAATAATAGATTCGAATGGAGAAAGAAAAAAAAATATATGTTAAAATCTATTAATTTTGGGAGCTTTTTCCAGCAACAAACAAAAGGATAGACACAATGTCACGCAATTGGCTGTCAAATATAGAGAATTTTTGAAGTTCCAAAATTTTTTTTATTTGGTAGCCAAGCATGTGACATTGTGTGTACGTGTGTTTTTTGCTAGGAAAGTCCCTTTATTTGTTTCTAAAAAAATCTATAGAATTTACATAAAATTTCCCAGGGCGGTATTTGGCTTTGTTCGCACTTTACATTTGTGATTATATGCATGTCGCAGCCGCTAAAAGACCGAAAAGATCGTCGGAAGGTTTGATAACGTGGAAGGTAATCGAAACCAAGATGCCATGGAGTTTAATGTTCCTATTGGGCGGTGGTTTCGCGATTTCACGCGGAAGCGTCGCATCCTGCATGGCAAAACGAGTTGGCGAAGCTCTGCTACCGCTTCGGTACTTACCACCCGTCGTAATACTTGCTTTGGTGTGCTTCTTCGAAGGTACTTTAACGGAATTCACCTCGAATGTGGGCATCGCAAATATCACTCTACCGGTGATAGCTCAAATGGTAAGAGAACGTTTTTTCGGATTTATATGCTTATGTATTTATGTGTATATAATATTATATAAAACACACATTATTTATATAAAATATAAAATTATATTTATTTTATTTTATTCTCTCAAAAAAACATAATTAATTACAATTAAATTTCTTGCTTTGAATTGCTCACATCAATATTAAACAATTATTAATTATTTTTGTTTTTTATGTAGTATAAAAATAGATAGTCTCTTTTTATAAAATTGAATTTTTTAATATTCTAAAATTAGTTTAAAAATTTTCTGATTTTTTCTCTCTATATATCTTCCTTTTTCTTTAAATATTATTATTATATCGAGTATTTCAAACCACTCGTGCGTTTTTCTCAACCTGGTTCCATTTTTCGAAACAAACCGGAAGTAAATGTAACTGTGAAAATAATCTGACTGCCTAACCATCATCAATAATGATTATTTTGGATGCCCATTAGTAATAAAAAATTTTTTTGTAACTTCCTGTAATGTCACATTTTTTAGAAAAACTGGCACGGGTGATCTGAAACATCTGGTATATTAAAATATTTTTTGCTTTCGCTTATAGCACACTCCATTTTATTTTTCGTCATTATTTACAAAAGTAATATATATTTTATTATATTTATATTTTTTCCGCGCACATATTGATATTTTATAATCTGTATAAAAATATATTTTGGAAACAATCCCATACAGCACAGAACATTGCAATTACATTGCAGTAATGTTAATTTTGCAAGTTGCAATGTAATATTGTTGAGACATTACTGGAACATGTAATCGTAATATTTCATGAAAATGTTACAGCAACATTCCAAAAACATTACAAAAAAGCGTTATCTATCCCACATTTAAGTTTTAGTCATGATGATTATATAAAGCTTGCAAAGAGTGGGTAGTAAAGGTATTATATAATAACTATTTTTATCAGTTTAATTTGTCTGATACGATCCCAATACAGGGAATTCAGATATTGAATTAATTATTCAGAACTCGGACAAATAAATGTTCGAAAAAGTTAAAATTATCTGTTTATTGTCTACTTAAGATGTAAAATAGTTTGATATCTATATAAATAAAATTTTAACTTTTATGAATTAAATTATTTAATCATTATCAATTTCTTAAACTTGTAAATTATTTATAAAATAGCGATGTTAATTAGATAACAGAAAATTGTTTAATAGTTTCCATTTCTATATATGTCAAACGAAAAACTCGATAATAATTTTTTAATATGCAAAATGTTTCAAATTATTGTTGAGACATTACTGGAACATGTAATCGTAATATTTCATGAAAATGTTACAGCAACATTCCAAAAACATTACAAAAAAGCGTTATCTATCCCACATTTAAGTTTTAGTCATGATGATTATATAAAGCTTGCAAAGAGTGGGTAGTAAAGGTATTATATAATAACTATTTTTATCAGTTTAATTTGTCTGATACGATCCCAATACAGGGAATTCAGATATTGAATTAATTATTCAGAACTCGGACAAATAAATGTTCGAAAAAGTTAAAATTATCTGTTTATTGTCTACTTAAGATGTAAAATAGAGTTTGATATTTATATAAATAAAATTTTAACTTTTATGAATTAAATTATTTAATCATTATCAATTTCTTAAACTTGTAAATTAATTATAAAATAGCGATGTTAATTAGATAACAGAAAATTGTTTAATAGTTTCCATTCCTATATAAAATCAAAAATTTGATAATAATTTTTTAATATGCAGGATACTTCAGATTTTAATAGATAAACTTTGAGAATATATAAAGACATTCAAGAGAGACGAGAAAAAACTCATTATAATTGCGTAAATTCACAATCTTTTTTTCTTATCTCTCTTGGATGCAGGGGCGGATTTATATAGAAGCTTACGATGCTTAAGCATCAGGCCCTCAACGAGAAAGGGGCCTCCAAACAACTACCGAATCGACACTTACGAGAACCATATAGTATCAGACTAGAGATACGTATTATTCTGTATAGTCATAATCAGATGGGTTATCCGCGTCTTATTTAATACTCCCAATAACAAGTTGTGAAGCAGAAAGAGGTTTCTCTAAATTATCTTTTATAAAAAATAAGTACAGATCTAAAATGAGAGATAAAATTATTTATTAATTCTTTCAATAGAAAGTGACATCACAAGATCTGTTACTTATGACGAAGCCATAAAAGAATATATAAACGTGAAATGTAAAAAAAATAAAAAAATAAAAATTTAAAAACTTTTGTTCTCAAATGCTTTTGTTTTTTACATTTATGTTTTGTTTTATATCTATGTCAGTTATTTTTATTAATTTAATTTGTTTCTGTAAAACGTTAATGTTTCTGTAAACCGTTTATAGTTTTCATGAATATCATTTATTATGAATATATTTTATTCGAATTGTATATTTATTAATGTTTAAATATTATCATAAACTGTTATTTAGATAGAACAAAAAATTATAATAATAATAACGAGAAAACGATAAATTATGATAGAAAAGTTAGTTTTTATAATAATTTTTTCGTCGTTTTTTGACGTCATTGTAATTTTCTATTCTGCCCGGAAAAAAGGCCCCTGAAATAATATTAGCCCCCGAAAAGTCACCATCCATCCCTGCTTGGATGTCTTTATATGTTCTCAAAGTTTATCTATTAAATTTGAAGCGTTTTGCATATTTGTAACAACCCATACAGCACAGAACATTGCAATTACATTGCAGTAATGTTACAATCTTGCAAGTTGCAATGTAATATTGTTGAGACATTATTGGAACATGTAATTGTAATATTTCATGAGAATGTTACAACAACATTCCAAAAGCATTATAAAAACAGTTTTCAGTAACCGCTAGTTCGTTCGTTTACCGCTATACGACGCCCGTTGCATTATATATCTCGTATTTAAGTTTCAGTCATGATGATTATATAAAGCTTGCAAAGAGCGGCTAGTAAGATTAAAGATATAACTATTTTTATCACTTTAATTTATCTGATACAATCCCAACATAGGGAATTTAGATATTGAATTGATTGCCCAGTAAGCAAAATGTTAGCAGTCTGCCAACAGTTTGCGAGCAGATTCAAGCAGAATATTGGAGCAGATTGGCATCAACTGCGTCCGCATTAAGCTTGTGTTCTGTCGGCAGAACCTGTCGACATAAGCTGACAGCAAATTGACGGCAGAAATCGAGCATAATCTGCGCGACGCAGTTAAATGCCAGATTGGCGGCAGAAACCGAGCAGGATCTGCGCAATGCAGTTTGATGTCAGATTAGTGGCAGAAATCGAGCAGGATCTGTCGTCATAATTTAAATGGAATAACGGGCATTTAAATGTTTCATTAATTTACATTGCACGTTTTGCTTAAAAGATAATAAATGAGATATACAATGTATGTAATATATCTTTGTTTTATTGAGACAAAAAATGTTAAATTTTGGTCACAAAATGACCAGTTAGACATCCTAAATTAGGTCTCATAAGACTCGAAAATGACATCAATAATTGATATGTCACATTCACGGGACGTCATTTGCTGACGTTTGTATTAATAACATATAAATATATAATATTAATAACATATATTAATATAAAATATATAGAAAAATTTAAACAAATACATTGCACCGTAACATTACTGTAATCTTACATTGTAATATTTCTAAGGGCGGACATTTCAACGTTGCTGCAAGCTTGCAGTAACATTGCAGAAACATTTCGCAACTTCTATGCAATATTACAATGTTTCAATGCAAGGTCTATGCAACATTTCTGCAATCTTTCGGTGCTGTATGGGATCTAACAAGATATCTTAAACCATAACCCAGATAGCCAAGAATGTTAAAATCAAAGGTTTTGCCAAAGCTTTGCGACAAGGTGTGCTTTAATTTTGACAACAATTGTGTAGCAAACATTTGTCTTGTTTTGGTTTGTCAAAAAGTTTGAAGCAAATTGACGGCAAAATTTATCGTCACTTGTCACAATTTTGCTGTAAAGGCATGCTCGGGTTTGATGCAAACTTTGCGCAAAGTTTGCATCATTTTGCTTGCTGGGAAAATGAAATTACCCAATCAGCCAAGTCTGTTTGAACAGATTAATATCTGTTGCCAAGCAAAATGTTTGCCAGCAAAAAGGCTATAAATTTAATACAGAGTCTGTTAATTTCGATTATGTCTAACAGATTGTCAACAGAACTATAGCAAAGACTGCTATCAAGTTCTGTGAGCAGGCTCTGCTGGCAGATTATACTACAAGCTCACTACAGACATAGTATTGATGCCAATTTGTCAGCAATTTTTGAATAAATCTGTTGCCAATCTGCTGGTATATTGGGATCATTTTGCTTATTGGATATTTCCTTCTGTCCGCTAGTGCGTAGCGATGGAAATCCATCCTATGTATTTGATGATACCAGCCACGTTGATGTGTTCGTTCTCATTCCGTCTGCCGGTCGGAACACCACCGAACGCGATCATAACCATTGCTGGACATATCCCGACCAATATGTTAATCTCCGGAGGTTGCGCACCTGCGATCTACAGTTTGATAGTAGAAGTTATCTTCTTCCCGACATGGGGCGTTTTCGTTTACGGAATTCAGGATTTTCCTGACTGGGCCAGATATGTTGAAACGGGAAATGATACGAATGCAATATGTTAATCGATTTGAAACATGCACAATTTGCAAATGTTGCGGAATGTATTTCGATTTTTACTATTTCATTTGTTTCCGCAAAATTCATTGTAACTTGATATAAAAAAATTAGTACATTAAATATTTAAGCAGCCTATATTATATTTTATGCAATTTCTCTCTCTATCTCATATATTTCATTACAGTATATATACGTTGTATAATCTTTTATCATATATACATATTCCTAAATACATACAATAAAATAAAGATATTATGGATATTTCACACATTATCTTTTAAAAACTGAATAACGTCGAATATTTTACTTAACATTGTACTTCACAGATAAGAAAATATATATATGATAATAATGTTATGTTACAGTGAACAGCAAATCCAGCATATCAATTTTTTCTTCAAAATACAACGGTTAAAATCTAATAGCTATTGATGCAAAAGTAACAATTATACTAAATCTTTTAAAGATATAGTACTAAATATTGTAAAGTAAACATGATATGAATAAACAAAGATAAAATAAACACATTCGATTTTTTACTTCTGCACAATGGAAAATCCGTGGTTACCTTTCATATTCCGTTTCAATATTTGCTTATAACTTTGTAATAAAGCATTTTTATAGCTAAACTTCATATAATATTATTTTCCTATTTCCATTTGTAGAATATGCTCTTGCACTTGTCAGATAAATCCTGGGACACCCTGTGTATATTTGTAAAATATATATTTTTTTATTTTTGTTCACACATCAAATTTTGCATATACACAATATGTATGTAAAATTTGTACATGTTTGTACATTATGTTTATAGCATCAAGAAAAAATATTGTAAATACATCAATGAATATCTATTTACACCTCTTACTATTATAAAGACAATTTGTATAGAAATATATCATAATTTTTATAGCTGTAGAAACTTAACATGAATATCCTCATTGAGGATGACTAATGATACCCACAAGTAGATGTAATATCTTATTCTTTAACACATATTTTCTAATAAAAACTATTTTTGATAGTACACAGAATAATATCTGTCTTTATAGTAATCTTATTTCAACATTACAATCTTGTGTGTTTTGTAGCTTTTGATTTACCACACATGAATCACTTCATAAAACAGACAAACTTTGTGTTTTTAAGTGGAAGGATGCGGTTTTAATCCAGGAGATTCACTTTTTTTCGGACTGGAATTGATTTCTTGTTGCTCCAATCTACGGTGTCTCAACATTGTCGATAATACTCCATTGAAACTGGCAGTTTTCTTCTTGGCGCTACCTTTTGGAGTACTCTCACCGACTCTACGGACGGGTAGTCTTGGCGATGACATTTCATCCATAAAGTCAAAGTCGGACTTTTCTTCGGTTCTATAAAAATAAAAAAATATTGTCAATATAAAAAACAATTAAGATACACTATTTGAAATTAGAAGCTCTAATGAATAAAAATAAGAGAAGTACAAAATTTCTGACAAAAATTTAAAATATGGCGCGCTAAACTTACACCTCAACGTTAATATCACGCATGTTATATACACGTATTTATTTATACAAGTCGAACAAACCACAATGTCACACAATACACATCATGTAATTTTTAAAACATCCATCAGTTGCGTCTCTATTTTCGTAATGTTGCAATGCCCGTCTCGGTTAATTGAAGTAAGTTGCCTCCTACTTTATCTTCCATAATTATAATTACAACACACTTGATACTGACGATCTAAAAGAGTAAATTTCAAAAGTTCTGACAAGCACTATGTGCTCTTGTCACCTAAGCTGGGCACATACTCCCCTTGCGGCTGAACTAAAAAGAGGCACACTTGTCTTTAAACGTGATGAGCATAAAACATTCCCGCATATGAATACGTGCTCCTTTTAACAATTTAACAGTATATTAGCGAAAATTGATCCATCTCATCCATCATATTATCATATTTTCATGTCGATAGCAACATATTCTTTAAAACACGCGGCGCATTAATTTAAATAACAACAAGTTTTTTTATATCCCATACTTTTTAATGTTTTTCTAAAGTTATTCGTAATTAGTTGTAAATTATTTATTACATAGGTTTACATTTTAAATTATATCTGATCTGTAATTTAATAGATGCTGAAGATGGTCCAAATCCAGGACCGAGACGTACATATTTGAATAAAGAGAGAACATAAACAACAACAATCAACTTGCGCACTGTTTACTGTACCAGGCTTTCATTTAGCCCAAAAACCTCTTCTCTTATTTCAATTAAGACAATCAAAAATTTTTACTACAAAGTTACTTGTATTCCTGAGATCCATGATCCTGTTGTCGATTGTTTGAGGGAATAGGGGATGGTCCTCGTCTACCAGGACACTTCCATTCAAGTTCTAAAACGCGATTGTTAGCTTCTAAACCTTCAATCAATGAGACTATGTCTTCAGCTTTTATATTCCATTCATGCTACACAAATAAAAAAGAACAAAGATGTTTATACAAAATTAACAGCATAATGTGAAATATAAACTTAGACATTTACAATATGACACATATGATCAAATATGGTAAGATGAATCAAAAAGTAAGGTTTTATTACGACTCTTATTTACAACTTATGTACAAATTGGATTTATTGTATTAAAATATAAGCTAATGATTACTTTTCAATATAATCTCTTTTGAAAAGATTGATGCACTCATCCCACCTTGGCATGAGTTGAAGATTTTCTCTTGATAAAAGCTTTTAAATGTTTTAATCACTCTTGAATAGCATTTTATACTCCTATATTATGAAGGAGACAATTAGAAGAAAGAGGCTTGAGTTTCTCTCTAGAGAAGCCCAGGTCTTTTTCTTGTGAATTTTCTTCATGATAATGTCAGATCTCACTCTGCATATCAAACTCAGGAATTTTTGTAATCATTTGATTAGAACATTATAAAGCATCTTCTCTAGAGCCTGGATCTGACTCCTTATAATTTTCATTTGTTTGAATCACTGAAAAAACATCTTGGAGGAAAATGATTTCCAGATAATGCAGTGGTACAAGAAATGCTATTTAAGAATAGTTTAAACATGAAGAGCAGGATTTTTACCAAGAGGAGATCTTCAAACGCATGCTAACTATATCAATCTTCTCAAAGACTATATCGAAAAGTAATCATTAGCTTATAACTTAACATAATAAGTTCAATTAGTGCATAAGTAATAAATAAAAGTTGTAATAAAACAGAATATTTATATATACATATATATTTTTTTTATTTAAGAATTATACTTGAGATTTTTATTACTTAAATATTATAAGATATCAAGATAAGTAGTGATTATTTCAAAATTTACATATATTGTAAATTTTGGTTATCTTACCTTCACGTCCACTTCGTATTTTTCATCATCGGAACATTCCACAGACCAGTCTTCTTCATTGCATTCCATTTTTATTAAATAATTTGCGATAATATATGATCGTTTAAAAAGACATTTCCATTATGTTTCATTCGCATATAATCGGTCATTCCCAATTCATTCGCAAATTTGTCTCCTTGCAAAAACCTCTCTCTCTTTATATATATCTTCTCTACATTTCGAAAATACGAATCTCGCCAAACTAGTTTCGCTCATATTATAATTACAAGACACTACGAACAAGAAAATTGACAGCCATTAGAGTCCTAGATTATCAGAGAGGCGCCAACTCTATCCCCACCATGCCCACCGCCCAAAAATTAAACAGTTAGATTGCGCGAATCTACTTGAGAAACATTTAATCCTATTTCTATAGAGATAGCATTTTACAATATAATTTCATCCATGGTAGCAAGAAAAAAAAATTAATCGCATAATCAATATAAGCGATAGTACATTTCTTTATTAGTAATTCAATCTAGACATATCTTATATTTTATAAAATTCAGAGTATTTAAAAAAACTGGACGCGATGAGCAATAAACGATCGGCGATATCCAATGAGAGCTTTATTTTTTTGGAAAACCAGAGTTCTCATTGGATATCGCCCATCGCTCATCGCTCATCGCATCCAGTGTGCGAGGGCCATAACGCGTGAAAATCACCAATGAGATGCTAGGAAAAGAGACAAACATAGGCCTCTTATATAGTACTTCTCTTTCTACAGCAGACGCGCGTTTGTCTATTTCGCAATGTTCAATCCAATCTATATATCTATGGTAGAAAACTATAAAGCCCGGTCTACAATGAGTCGTTAGTCGTTAGTTGCAAGCAAATTGACCAACCACAGTCTATTATTCCAAGAATATTCTAGGAATAATCGACTGTGGTTGGTCAATTTGCTTGCGATTAACGACTAATATCACCCATCGGGTGAAGAATCGGAACACAGCCCCGGGTGAATAGAGTGACAATTTGAACGTCTCACTTGAGAGTCCGGCGAGAGCACTTGGGAGGAATCTGAACGCTCTCTGGGTGTCTGGGTGCACCCGAGTGGGAAATCGGAACACAGCCCAGGATATCGATCATGTAACTTTTCTCCTAGGGCGGAAAAGTGAAAAATGAAAAATTTTACCATTGATTTCAATGCTAATATTTTTCACTTTTTACGTTTCCGCCCCAAGGAAAAAGTTACATGATCGGTACCCAGACTACGCATTGAAAATTGAAGATTGAGAATTAAAGATTGGAATTTGACTAATCAGAACAAAAGGGACTAAAATTTCTTTGTTCTGATTGGGTCAAATTTCAATCTTCAATCTTTAATCTCAATCTTCAATGCGTAGTCTGATACGGGCTATACGGGCTTTACTAGAGTATCTCTAAGCTTCATGTGCCTTGTCCTTATATATAAGTCCGGTTCCGACTGACAACGTGTCGGGTTCGGACGTGTTTTTGCGTGCTGCGTATGTCCTTTGTCTGGACCTTTTTTTTTGACTCCTCCTCTTATATAAGTCCGTGCCCTTGAATGGATACCTATGACTGCGTTTACACGCATAGACATAGTATATCTAGACCGAGTGTTGAGGAGTGAAGGCCAAGGTGCACGTAAAAAAGGATATACTCTGTTCCGTGCTCATTGCGTTCTCTTTCACTCGCATGTAGCATAGCGAAAGAGTATGCTATGCTACGTGCGAGCGAGAGAGAACGCAAGGAGCACGAAACAGAGTATGTCCTTTTCTACGTGCATCTTTACCCCCACTCCTTAAATAAAGGCAAAACCTTGGTTTAGATATATTATGTCTATGACTACGTTTACACGTCACTTCTAAGGGCCACCGCACAAGCTTTTCCGTAATGCATTACGTTACGTTAAGTACTGATTCTAAACCTAAACTAACGTAACAAAAGCATACTACGTTACGATCGTTAGGTGGTCACAAATCCTTTATTTACAACGTTTGGTGGTTCATAATTTATCCAAAAAGTAAAAAAAAAACCATGTGCGGTTAGGTAGTGAAGATGGCTAACTGGAAGCTGTAAAGTTAACCGAACCAATATATTATTTACTAACCAATTTTGTTCAAATTGGTTTTAATTGAAAGACAATCGTTTGGTGGTGATTGGTAGTCTAATTATAACGTTTGGTAGTTAATTATTATGCTACTACGATTACAAAACCATGTGCGCTGAATCTGCGCCTGCGCGTGCCTTCGTCGTGTAAAGGTGCCTTTACATGGCAGCGTTAAGGTGCCATTACATGGGCAGAAAAATGCGCAGAATTTAAAAAAGATAGATTCTAGGCTGAAATTAGATTCTGCGCAATTTTCTACGCAGACGCTT